TCTGGGCAGCCATCCCAGCCTCTTCTCAGGTGGGGGCCCTGCATTTCACCTTCTAGTATTCAGCAATGATTACATCCTAATTGATTTCTCTCTCATTTTGGGCACTAATCAAAGGCAGAAAATCCAGCCAATCTGAGCATCAGGGAAGCAGAAGAGTGCATTACAGTAAAAAAGATTTTTCCAGATCTCTTAACAGATAAACTGATGGCCACTGCGGATCCTTCGGGCCTGAAGACCCAGATCCAACATCCAAATTACTCAACACCCTATCACAGACACCTCCCCCAAGCCAGGCCCTTGCTGGATCCTGGGGTCACAGATCCAGTCCTGGCCTTCACGGAGCACCTGGGAGCCTGGATGAGCAGTACCTGACCCAGCCTGGGAAATCCAGGGAGGCTTCACAGAGGAGATGACATTTCAGCTGGGTTTTGAAGGATGAAAGGTATTTCTTCAGACACAAAAATAAGGGGGATGGGCCTTCTAAGCAGAGGGAAGGGTGTGGGAAAGTCCTGGAGCCACGAAAAAGCAGCACCTGATTGGAAAGTGATGGTAAATGAAATGGCTGGGATCTCAGGCCCTTGAAGGGGAAGAGGAGATTGGGAAGGGACTATGGAGAGATGAGGCTCCAGTGTAGGGAAGGAGTTCCAGGTGCCAGGTTTTCAAGAGAAAAGCTGGAGGAGCTCAGGCGGGGGCATGTGTAGTTGGGGGATCTGTGTATTATCAGTGGGGAGATGGGGGTCTGAGAGATGCTGCCCAAGGTCATGTAGAATCAACGTCATCTCTGGGTCTGGAATGCAGCCCTGCCCCCGCCCCAGTCCCCCACTAATCCCAGGCCTGTGCTGCCTCTTCCTGCCTCCTTAATAGCCTCCATGCACACTCTTTCCTTTCCAGCCTCCATGCCTTTGCTCTTGCTGTTCCCCTGCCCAGAATACCCTTCCCTCCTCTGTACAAACCACACCCATCCTTCAAGTTCTAGCTGGAGTCCTACCTCAACCAGCGGCCTGGAGCAGAGATCCAGGGTCAGAGGTGGGTAGGGGTCAAAAGAGAGGTGGTGAGTGTGGCAGAAAGTGTACAGACCTGATTGAGAGCACAGCTCTGCTGAAAGTGAGCTGTGTGACTTGGGGCACATCACTTTCCCTCTCTGGGCCTCAGTTTTCTGCCTTTTCAGAGGAGAATAAGGAAAGGTCCTTATCCTCAGGGAGCTCACAGTCTAGAAAGGACCGTAAGGTTAAAAAAAGGACCTGTGACTTTCGAGGTGTATCAGATGCCTTGAGTAAGCAAATGAGGGGAAAGTTTATGGAGAAACATTTAGGGGCATTTTCTCTGAGCCTTGAAGAACGGGTAAAATTTCAAGTAGTAGAGATGGAGGCAGAAGAGGGCCCACCAGGCAGAGAGCACAGCCTGAGCAAAGGCTGGGAGGCGGAAAGTTTAGGGTGTGTTCAAGGAAGAATGAGTGTCCCGATTCTGGTTCCTTCTGAGTCAACAGTTCAGGCGCTTTTTGTAAGCGGGCAGCCCAGGCCAGGCAGCCTCCAGTAAACACCTGTTTGCACAATCGAGGTCACACACAGGGGCATGCTTGCACAATGACCTGTTTGCACAATCTCAGCCGACTGCTGTATTCCAGCCAAACTGGCTGCTGGTGGACTAGCCGAGCCTCTACTTCCGGACACTCACCCCAGCTGGCCCACCTGGTCTCTGCCCAGGGTCCTTCAGGAACAGGCTGCTCCTTGACCCACCCAGCAGCCCATACACGACAGGCAATAACAGAAACAGAAACCATCCAACCCTCAGTAGGTCTGCTGAGAATGAGGTCCCCTCCCCAGGGCTCCCTGACTGGGGTTTCCAGGCCACAGAGGCCGACAGGCCTGATGGAGGAGGGGGCAGGGCAGGAGGGCTGGAGGGGGAAGTATCCACAAGGCAGACGCTACGTGTGAGTGAGGGGATGACTCCACATCTGCCTTGTGCTTTCCAGCTCACCAGAGTAAACATTTATTGAGCACTTACTGTGTGCCTAGCTCCATTCCATGAGCCTCAACCACATTATTTCTCCCAAGAATCCCATGAAGCAAATATTAATATTATCCCCATTTTAAAGATGATGAAACCAAGGCTCAGAGAGGTTAAACAACTTGCCCAGGATCACATAGCTAGTAAGTGGGAACCTAAGCAGTCTAACTCTTCAGCCTCTGCTCTTAATCTGTCTATATGCTAATCCCTCTTCCCTGAGGAAAGTTCTTCCTTAAGTCTAACTTTCATTCCAGCTGCTGCAGCTCCATTTCCTGGTGCAGGTCCTTGGTGGAGAATGGAGTACAGACGAGATCAGTAAAATCTTGCTCTGACATATTGAACTATGAGGAGGGGAAAAAAATAAAGGAATTTTCTTGAACACCTACTATGTGCTTGTTATCGTGCTAGGCTCCATACCGCCCATAGCTCATTTAATCATCACAAAACCCCTGGGAGGAATTATTATCCCTGTGGCAGATAAGGAAACTGAGGCTTGGAGAGGGTAAACAGCTTCTCCAAGATTCCACAGCCCAGTAGATATGCATTGAGAATTCCCTGTGTGCCCTATGCTGAGGCTGGAGGCAGAGATGAGAACATGGTTTCTGTCCTCAGGTTGTCCACAGTCTAATGGAGGAGGCAGACAGCTAACAACTACCACAGCATCACAGGATCGCCAAAAAGGGAGGGCACCTGACCCAGCCAGAGAGGTGCTTAGGGCAGGTGAGATGTCTGAGCCCCGGCAGAGACAGGACTCGGCCAGCGGGAGGTGACAGGGGATCAGCCCAGGCGGAAGTCTGCAGTGCCTCCATCTGAGGGGTGCAGAGACCCGGCAAAGGCAGGGAATTTCAGAGTTGTTGACAAGACTGAGAGCTCCCTCTAGGCAGGAACTAAGGCTGCTTTTTCTCACCTTTGTACTCCAGCATCTGCTCGAAAAACATGTTTTCTGAATGATAAACGAAAGGCCCATTCTCCATTAGGAACTGATTGGATGTGCAAGTATGGGAAAGGGGTCTGAAGAATGACTCCTGGATTGGGTGACTTGGGGGGTGGGGATGGTGGTATAATTTACC